TCGTCGCTTAAAACTTTTCATCGCGTTATAAAGATTAAGAAATCCAGAAAATAATTTTCCCCGATTTCAATGAAATTCTCCTCTCATCGCGTTTCACAAAGAAAATACCATCTTTAAAGCGATCTACAATTCATAGACAAACACTCTCTACTTTGATTCAGAGCGAATTCTGTAATCCCTATCGGTCAATTACGGATCAATCTCGGCGAGTACAATCTAAAGGGTCCAGAAGTGCCGCCGTCGAAAGAAGAGAGAGTGACGAACGCTATCATGCACCCTGGCCACAAATGCGGAAAATACGTGGACGATATTGCCCTTTTGGAACTCGCAAGGCCGATCACTTGGTCGGAGAGCGTGAAACCCGCCTGTTTACCTGTGGCCACAGGGAAACCAGGGTATAGCGCCTTCGGCGGAGAGCTGGCCAAGGCCGCTGGATGGGGTTGGTTTGGCGAAGATAGATCCAAATGTAAGTAAATAATTCCGCTTCGTCCCACAACTCTTCCTTTTGCCTTGGTAATTCGCTTGGGAACCGTGGACCGTTGACATTAATTACTTGGCGTTTCATCGAATTAATGGACGATATAAGATGAGACGACTGTAACTCGGCGAGAAAATCGTTAGTTCTACTATTTCCAAGCCTGTTTCAAAGCGGATTTCCCAGCGAACCAATAATTTTATCGTCGAATTAAATACGTATAAAGGCAGGAAAAACTTGTTACACAGCGCGGCAGTCGATCTGTTTTCGATAATGATATTGTAAGAGGGGAACACGAAAGTAGAACAGGTGTGCCGCGAAAGTTTTCTGCCAACGACTAAGTAAGCGAATTCTACTCTGGTCGAAATCGCGTTCCACCAAAGTTCCTTAAATTAATGGGGCAAACATCGAGTCGAACTTTGACCAAAAAGGACTCCCGATGAAATCAAATTTCTGCTCAACTCGAACGCTTCCACATTCACAATTCGCATTCCAGAGCATTCGAAGCTCTTTTGAATAGACCATGGAGGATATTATACTGATGATTCTTGACACATTCATTAATATTCAAACTTTACTAAAGAATATACGAACAAAATTTATGGTTCTCCCTCTTTTAATATCTTTCTGCTTCAATTTTCATAATTTATCGAAGATTATCAAGTTCATCGACTACCTTTTAAGTATAATACTTTTAATCAGTTTATTCTAGTTATATGCTGATTATAATCGTTTTGATGAAACTCTTTAAATGTACAATTATTTATATAGGCTCGTATACGTCTGATACCAGCCACTGAAGAATTTTCTTTCTTTCGAACATTAAATGTGCAAATGATATCACATGTGACCAATGTGATTTCTATATAAATAAATGAATTCCCAACAATTAAAACAAAATTAAATCTCGATTTCAGTCGATTTCAGTCCGATTAAAAATCTTTTATCAGCATAGCTACTCATCTATCGAAATTAAAACTATTCTATTCTATTATTTTGTCTATGCAGATAAACGAGCGGACGTGTTGCAGAAGGTAGAGGTTCGCGTGATCGAGAACAGCGTGTGTCGCGAATGGTACGCGAGTCAGGGCAAGTTGACCCGCGTGGAGTCGAAGCAAATGTGCGCCGGCCACGAAGAAGGTGGCCGCGATTCTTGCTGGGTAAGTGAAATCCTCTCCTTTATTATCTATCCTCTCTTTTATATACTCTTGCTCAAAAGTCTTGGGACACTTTTTACGTTTAATGTTGGGTATTCATAATAAACGTTTTCAATTGCGCGTGCAATCATTAATATAATATTTTACAAATTCTTTGTTGAATAAAGTATTATTTAATTTTCTCAAATTTGAGGCAAGTATAATGCTCACCCTAAAAACCTTTGAGCGGAAGTGTATGTGCCCTTGCGTGCATCGATCTTCTTCTCATTCATGTGCAACTGGTTAAGCAAAGGACCGCATGTCACTCGTTCGTGTACGAAATTCACGCCCTGTCGAACAACCGCGACACGAATTTCAATAAATATCCGACGTACTCGCGTAGGTGCGTATGCAGGTTTGTTGAATTAACAGGCAGAGATTGGACTGGATCTCCGAGCAACAGAGCAAATCGCTCAACCACAAAACAGCTAGAGGGACAGAAAAAAAAAATGGATCAGGGATTGAAAACCGTAAAAAAAATATGTTAACAAAATACTGCGGTCTGGTATAACGTAATTATCGGAACGAGTAACTGCGGGGAAAAAAAGGGTTTCCAGGTATTTCCAACTCGATACATTTCATCGGGGATTTACTATTCCGTTCGCGGATCATTTGACGATTGTCTTCATTGAACCAGCTCGCATTGTTTTAACGTTTGACCGTTCGCGGTTAATCAGCAATGGATAATCACACATTAAGACAAAGCTTTGAAATTATTAAATATAAATTATCACAATGATTATAAAATATAATTATTGTTATATTTATATTTCTTTAGTTGGCAAGCAAATGAGTACAAATCAGAATTGTTAGTTTCGCAGAAAAATTCTTATAATATTTTAATTTAAAGTGCAATATCAAACCAGATGTTTGAAAAGTCCATTGTACTTTTTTGCTTGTTCATCAGAGATTAAATATTATTAGATTATTAAAATGTCCCGCATGAGTAAAATAAAACCTATGTTTATATTTAAAAAAATGTGAATTATAATAAATATTAATCTGATATTATGAATTTGGAAAAAAATAAGTTCTACTATTTGGATTTTCCGTAAAAATATATGATATGTATGTATCCTCTTCTAGGCTGATAGTGGCGGACCTTTGATGATCGGAAATCAGCCTAATAATGTGATGGTCGTAGGAGTGGTCTCATCAGGAGTTGGATGCGCTCGACCGCGACTTCCGGGTGTGTACACTCGAGTTTCAGAATACATATCCTGGATCACGCAACATGTACTATGATGAAATGAAATTGAAGATCTCATTCGCTTCATTTCGTACACAAGACTATGTATCGTAGGCATTTTCTGTGAATGTACTTAAAAAGAATTAAGTGTCATAGAATTTTTTTTAAGAAGTTTAAAACATAGAAACCAATGTCTGAACTAGCTTTATTAGAGATTCTTAAGTTCTTGGAAGATTACTTTGAAAGATAAATAATGAAAACTAATATAAAGTGTAAAATATCACTTGTAATATATGTTTTATCGATAGCAATGAATTATTGCTTATAGAACAAAGTTAGTCATTATTGTAAAATATAAACAATTTACGAGATTCGTCTTTTTATCTAGTCAATATTTATATTTTAATTATTATATAGAAAATAATATATTATAAGCACTCTGCCACGAAAGTATTGTAACTTAATCATATAATTAATCGCGTAATTCTGTACAAAATTTTACATTTTAATGTAAATTCATCTATTCAATACATCATAATATATTTTATAAATTATATTCTTCTTTGTTTCCTTGGTCTTGGAGGATTGTATGATATTCTAGTATCATCTGTGATAGAAATAACATTTACACCTGCTAGCTGAAATCCTTTTATGGCACCCTGAATGAATATAAAAATACTTATTAAAAGTACATACATGCAGAAGTTTTTAAAAGTTTGAGATGAAATTCTTCACTTTTCCTAAAGAGTACTGCATGCTTCTGAAGTATAATGTTAATTTTTTATTAAAATAAAATTATACATTTCTACACTTACCATTCTGCCAGGTCCAATTCCCTGTATTCTCAACCTCACTGTTCTGAAACCATTGTCAAGCATATGCTGTGGAAACGTGTAACATATTTATATTAAAATAAAAATTATAGATTTGCGTTGATATTATTAAGAAATCTTTCTCACTTTTCCAAATGTAACTGCGGTTTGTTGTGCTGCAATGTTAGTACCCTTTCTTGTATTTTTAAAACCTTCAATTCCAGCTGAATGTAACATTATTCCCTTTCCTATAAAAATATTGTTACAATAATACAAGGGTTACAGAAACACTAACAAAATGATACTGTTATATTAAAACTTTCCTTTATAATCAGTAAGGGACATTATTGTGTTGTTAGGAGTTGACTTTACATTAACAATATCTAGCTGATTATATGGTTTTCCATCAAACATTTGATATGGCGTAGAAGCATCAGGAAATAATTTCTTTCTGAAATCAACATTATGACAATGTTAGTATGATACAGATAACTAACTACAATGAAGTACAACATATTGCAAAAGTTTGCAATATGAATACAATACTTGTATAACATGGAACACTTACAAATCTGAGTCAGAAATAGTGACTATGTCTTCTCCATCCATGACTACATGTTTTTCTTCTGTAACTCTTATTTTCTGACTTCCCATTCGAAATTGTTTCATTATATTTGAGGTTATATGAATATTTCGAAAACTAGTGTACTTCAAATAAGATAATATCGTACAATTTTTACTAAACACAATCATACTTTTTGTTAAGGATCCTGTTGCAAGTTGTAAAGTGGACAAAATCATTTTTATATACGTATATATTTTCAATTCAAAACTAAATTGACGAACTTTCCGTATCAAAACAGTAAATGCTGCACTCTAAAGCTCATTTTAATAGGCTTGAAATCACAATCATTTTAAAATTTATTTAAATTCACAAATCAAATAAATATTCAGAAAGAACAATTAAATAATATTCTAGAATTATATATATGTGGGCATCTATCTTTAGTCAATGATGATATAAAATTTATAGCATTGACTAATAATAAATATAGTTCTACTCTTTCACCGTTATATGACGCTAGTGTTTAGTGTTCATAAATAGATCAAATTTTCATTTGGAAAAAAATTAAAAGGACTGATTTGTGAATTTTTATAACTGCATTCTCTTAATTAAATTCACAGCTTTCTTCCTATATTAAATCTATTTAATCTACAAAATACATGTATAAATTATATTTTATAAATATTTTATAAATATTTTAACTTAATTTCTCGTAAACTGAATTTGAAATTTGGATCAAAGTTGTTCATAAACATAATTAGAGAAGTGCACAAATCTCATACATGGATATGAATTAATCAATATATATATTCGAAAAATATTTTAATCATAAAAAAACCTATTATATAATTGTATAAATAATAATAATGACTCAAAACAAAATTTTTATGGCATAATATTTTTTACTTAAATAAATTATACTTGTGTAGTCAATACTAGCTGGTAGTTTTGTTAAATATTTTCTTTCTATTTTAAGTTAAGAAGCTGCTAAAAATGTTTTGATGTAGGGATTTTTATGAGATAGAACTTCAGTTTTAAATGTTGAAATTTTATCTTCTAATTCCACATCAGATAATGATTTATCTAAATTCTTGCATTTGTTAATAAATTCTGCAACAAGAATTTCAGCTTCCTGTAACATCATTAATATTATTAAATTATATTAATAAGATTTAAGATTTTTACATGTTTCTAATAAAAATATCATTACCTTTATAATATCTTTTTTTTTTTGTGGATTATCAGAACCTTCGAAAACTGAATCTTGGTAATCTTCAAGCTCTGCTTGTTTACGCTTAGCGAACTAAAAAAAAATATTTATTTTCCTGATTGTCAACATTTTAATTGAAACATATAAATTAAGAAAAGTTTTACCTCTATAACATCTTGTGGGAAATTAGCCATTTTAGCAACATGTATGCCAAAACTTTGATCACATATACCTGGCTTCACTTTGTATAACAAAGTTAATTTATCATCGTCTACAAGAGCTGTAACATGTTGATTTTTAACAGCAGGTATTTCTTCTTCTAATTTAGTTATTTCGTGAAAATGTGTCGCAAAAAGGCAATAACATTTAATTTCTTTTGCTAAGTATCTACAAAAAATTATATTATTATTGTGAATTACATAGTGAAAAATAAATTTGTAATAATTTCAAGATATGATTCATATATTACTCGGCGATTGACCATGCTATACCGCAACCTTCATAAGTAGAAGTTCCTCTACCTAATTCGTCGATTAACACGAGAGAATTACATGTTGCTGTCTATTCAAATCATATAAAATATAATTATTATTTATTCGATATTATTATACAAATATTATCAACTTACCTTTAATATAGCAGCAGTTTCTATCATTTCCATCATAAATGTAGAAAGACCTTTCAATTGAGAATCATCAGCTCCTACACGGGCTAATATACAATCCAATAGTGATATTTTTGCTTTATCGCAAGGAACAAAGCTTCCAATATGTGCCATTAAGGCACTGACACCGGCAGACCTTATATAAGTGCTTTTACCTCCCATGTTTGGACCAGTTATAATGCAAAAATGACAGTCACCTATAATTTTAGCAATTATGCTTTATATTTAAAAATAATATAAAATAATATTACCTCTTTTAAAACTGATATCATTAGCTATATAATCCACTCCTTCTTGAATTTCCAAACATGGATGTCGAACTTGAGTAAGATTAAATTCACCCATTTCGCTAGGCAGCATTTCAGGGCGAACATACGGTTTATTAGCACTTACAGCAGCAGAAGCAAAGGCAGTTAGGACATCAAGAGATGCTAATACATTGCCAGTAGTTCTTATTGTACCACTGTAACCAGCTGTGGTACAATAGATAATATTACATGAACATGTATTTATTTTATTCGTTTAATTTTTGTCTGTATATATACATATATATAAATATATACAAAAATTACACACGCACGCACGCACGCACACACACACGATATATATATGATATGCAAAATACCTGCAATTTCAATTATCTCAGCAACAACTTTCTTTTGTTCTATTGTATACTTATCTCTGGCATTAAGATAATTATGATTTAAATTATTTAATTTATTGCTTCGGAAACGTACACCACTTTTATTGGAATCCAACATAATATATTTTTTTTTATTTCTTAGCACTTTTTCTTCCTTCAATGTTATACGGAAATAATATCCAAACTGTGGATTCGATTCTAGTTTTAATGATTTTCCAGCCTCAAGTGAAAGATCATCGGCAACTTTACTCAACTGGGATTGTAATTTTGTCTCCATTTCATTCATAGTATTTTTTAATTCTAATATCAATTAATTTATATATAGGAATTAATTTATATATAAGAAATGTACATATTATACTCAAAGATTACATACCTTTCAATTCATCGTCAAATTCGGCTCGTACTAAAAAATCTCCTTTTTCGGCGGAATCTAAATCAATTGTTTGTTCAATCATTTGTTGAAATTTGTCCATGTCTTTAATAAGTTCGCTCAAAGGATCAATGAACATCGTTTTTAAAGCTACTACATTAATATTAGAAAACTGTTCTAAAAGTCTAGGCAAATGTGATACACACATGTAAATCCTGAAATAAAATCAATTAATAAAGATATATGATTATATCATATACTATAAATATATTATTTACTTATAGAGGTCTTGCAAAGTTGCTTTTTTTCTGGCAAACTTTTTTGCAAGCACTTGTAAATCTGGTATACGTCGTAAATGATCTTCGCTAAGATTAGATCGTAATTCATTGTCATTTACCAATGCTTCAACAATATCATGTCTTTCTTTTATAAGAGATAAATCTTTCAAAGGTTGTCTAACCCATTGTGCTAGAAGTCTATGACCTTGTGGAGTCCTGCATTTATCCAAAAGACCTAAAATATTTGTAGGTGCATTTCTATTTAAAGCAGAAAAAGTATCGACATGCGGTTCGATATTGAGTGCTTTTATAGCAGCTGAATCTAGCTTTAAGTAACGTGACTCCTTTATTTGATCTATAGTAAATTCATTTAAGTTTCCTTCATCTGATGTTAACTAGTGAAAAATGATCAAATTAAATAAAAATATTTTGTTTTTATCAATATTATACACTTACATCTAAATATTTAATAAGTGCAGAAATAGCTGACATAGCAAAATTTAAATTGGCTTCAGGTAAAGACTGTACATTTTGCTGTTGACCTTTCTTGAATTTTATTAAAGTGTTTAAATCCTGTATAACTGATTCACTAGAGAATACACTTTTTTTTCTTGCAGTAACCATTACATTATTTCGTTCCATGATCTAAAAAGTAAGGAGAAAAAAAAAGAAGCAAACAAATGTTACAGTTATATCTTTGACATTTTTAGTTCAATTATTTTATACGAGGAAAATATTTTATCTGTTTACTTGTTTAAGAGTTTGAAATTCATAACTGCCTTCGCCTTGAATTAATAAACATTCTTTAGGAGCAAGAGTAACAACCAATGATTCCAAATTGGAAAATGATTCATTATCTTGAAATTCGCAAATAGAAAATGAAGTTGCTGTAGTATCTACACAGCTTAAACCAACAATCTGAAAAAAAAAGATTAAGTACAATGAAATTAATTACAAAAACTCTTTTAACAAAAAATTATCACAAGGTCATATATGATCACTTACTCTAGATTTCCCCTCCATGCCTAATTTTACAGCTATGACGCGTACACTAACAGCAACATCATTATTACCAAACAATACATCTTCAAATTGTGTTAAATTACCAGGAGAACCTTTATATTCTAACACCCAATTTTGGTGTTTTGCTGAGCCTTGATTAATATATACTTCTATTCTGTATTGCTTTACCAACAATAAATCTCGTATAAAAGACTCAAAATGATTTTTATTAAGAATAACACCTTCAGTTTTATATGGATCTACATTATATATAAAATATATAAAATTTATTAAATAAGAATCAAATAAATTTATTAATAATTCTTAATAGTAATAAAGTTAAATTAGTTAAAGTTAAATTAAACATCTTACCAGCTCCTATCATCTTACAAACTGATGTAGTTTTAAAAACTTCTTGTGCAGCAAATAAAGCATCACTACCATGTAATGTATAATAATCTAATCTGTTGAAAAAACGTATGGTGGTACTAAGTTTCTGAAATCAATCATTATTTGATTACATACATATTTTAAATCTAAAATCTGAATTAATAATATATAATGCTGTATGATATATTAATGAGATTGGCTATTCAAAATTATATTACATGAATTTATCTTTAAATATATTCTTGACCTAATTACGTAAGTTATTTACTTTTGACTGATATATGTACCTAAAATGAAGAATTGTAATTACAATTTTTCAGAAATATAAAATTTTAAAATTTTAAAAATTAATTCCTAGAAATGGTTTGAGAAATATGCACATTTGCCAGATCATAATTATCACATTTGTTTCCAAGAAAATGAAGAATCTTGTTATATATCTGTAGGTCAATGTCTATCTAAGGTCAAAAAGTCATAATGATATTAATGTAATATGAGTTCAAGGAAATCTGTTTTATTGCATAAAAGACATATCAATTCAAAGTACTACATATTATTAAAGTGATAAATAATTACATACAATTGATTTTTAATTACTTTTTAAATATATTAAAAATTTTTAAATGTATTACAAATTTTTGGAAATACCACACAGAAAATTATAAGTTACTTAATAATTAATTACATTAAAAAAATAATGAATACATCAATAATTTTTCATAAAAAAGATTAAAACATTATATATAAATATAAGATATAAAATTCAAAAATAATTTGTCAACATAAAAATTAAAAAATTTTATTAATGATACTGTCTGAAAATATTATTGTGATAAAAGATCAAAGTTCATATTCCAGGAAGGTCAGTAATGTATAGCCTAAGTAGGCTATTAAAATCATTATGAAGAACTTCAATTCATAATATTTAATTATTTTAGTATTTTGTTAAATATATTATTATGTGAGTACATGAAATATATAATACAACACAGTTCTTTAAGTAATGTTTTGTATAAAATATATTAAAATTAAAAATATAACATTAAAATATTAAAATGTAATATTTGTCTCAATGATCACTTCAATCAATCACCTTGAAATTATACCTATTATGGAATAGGAATAAATTAACATATTGCAACAAGGAAATTACGTACTGAGAATGACATCATCAATGACACATCAAATGAAATTTACAGCTATTAATAGAAATTATTATATAATTAATACAATTTTTATATAATTATTAATATAATTATTATCAAGAAATCATAAAAGTATATTTACATATCTCTTTATAAAAAATATAAATAAATATAAAGAAATAAAAGTATTAATATGTAAAACTTAACTCTCTTTCTTTTTCAATTAACTCATGAAATAGTTGTTTACCATATCACAGATTTTTATAAATGATAAAATATACAATAATTTTTCAATAATTTTAATATATAATAACTTAGTATTACTATAAAAATTAAATGAATCTTCTTCAATACTAGTGTAAAATATAAATTAAAAATTGCTAATATTTGTCAGCTTTTCTCTGTAAATCAATAGTGTTACTGTTACTGTGAATTAATAGTGATAAGTATGTATTTAAACTGGAATAAATGCACAAGAAAACATTATCATCATGTAGAAATGAAAGAGAATGCTTCCAAAGATATGACAAAGAAGGGGGAGCCAACATAAATGGAATTGCTCCAACTTGCATTTAGTACATATCGATACATAGTAGCACTGAGATCATCTCACTCATCAATTCTGAACTTTTAATTAAGTGAATTTTGGTCTTTTGCTATAAGGTAATTAAATTTACAATTTCAACTTATTAAATACATAATTTTATTATTACTATAAATATAATATCTTAAATGTAATTTTTTGTCTTAATAAATTAAATATAAAATATTTTTTGATAATATATAGATTTATTTATATATTTTTCATGAAAACTAAATTAATTTTATATACATTTCTATATATTTTTTCAGAGACTGAATTAATAATATGATGGTACAAAATATTGCCATTCTATTTTTATTAATGACATATGCATCATCTGCACCAAGTGGATGCATAGAATCCTGTACGTCTTATCTTAAACAACATCAAACTCAAATTTCTGGTGATTTGTTACAAACTGCATCACACTCAGGTCTTGACTACTCAAGACCTGGTACATGGTCTGAACATAATGAGTATAATGTCGACAATGGACATGGAAAAGTACATGAAGAACGTGGTCAATATATTACAGGTCCAAAAACAGTAAGATATTATAAAAAAAATTACTCCTCTTCTTATAGTACAAGATATCCTAATAGTGAAATATTTCCGGATTTTGAACATGAGAGTAATAAACATGGTGTACATTTACCTACTATTCAAGAAGTTTCCAATTCTCAAAATACTTACAATCAAATGGGTAATTCAGAGTCGGTTGGACAATATAAATATAACAAAATACAAAATCAACAACATACTCAATCGTCATATACCAAAAGTAATGTTCAAAATGAAAGGCTTGAAGATCTTGGACAATACAATGGAAATTCACAAGTGATCCAGCAAGGTGCATCTAATCTGAATACACAAATTTCAAGAAAACCTTATGATACGAATACACAATCTGGAAATTGGAGTTCAGTCAATTCATATAAAACTGATGGAGGACGTGGTCGTGTATTTGAAGAAGATGGTCAATATGTATCAGGAGCTCAAAAAGTTCGTTATTATAAAAGGAATTATAGTTCTAGTTATAGTTCATCTGATGGGATTCCTATTCCCGAAGTAACAAAAATTGGAATTCAAGATATTCAACAAGAAATGGAGAAACTTCATAAAGAAATTGGAAAAGGATTCAAACAAATGTCTACAGCAGATGTCATAGGATCCAGTAATATTGGACAAACATATGTTAATACTCATGATTTGTCTACTGATAATATACATAATATAAACAGTGATAACTCTAGAGGACAAAATAGCTACAGGAGTAGTTTATCTACTGCACATACTGAAGAACAGCATTCCTCACATATTACAAACGACCATTTACCTTATAGAAATCCTTACCAAAATACATATGATGGAAATAGCTATAGTACACATGAAAAACATGAAGAATATGTCAAACAACTTCAACCAATTAACCAACTTATTAATCCTACATCAGGATATACCAGTGTACTTAATACTGGAAATAGTGGTTATAATAGAAATACATTTAGTGGATCAACTTTACAACAACAAACAGATAATTTTCAACAAGCAGAAATGTTAGATACAGAACAGTCTAGAATTTCACAGACGCAAACATTTCTTGACAATCTAAGGAAGGACACACAAAGCCAAAGTAGTGCAATTCATTCAAGCATGCCAGGTGTATCTCACTACAAGGAACATTGGAGTGCTAGTCATACAAAAGAAACATCTATCCCACAGCATTCCATAGATATTACACATATGAACCAACAGAGTGATCAATATACCAATAATCAATATGACAACAGACGCAATTTATATCAAGGGATGCAACAACGAGACAATTACTTACATCAATCCAAAGAAAGTGGTTTCACTAGTGGCAAAAAAACGTTATTACAAAAATTAGTAACTGGAGCAGACACTGTGGATTGTGATTATAATTCACAATATACACATAGCAACACTCAGCATCAAACAAAATATAAGCGTTCTGCTAAATATGACAAACAAGATGAAGTGCAAACACACAGTAACTTTAATGATGATTTTACTCGGCAAACAAGAGAATTCGATGATCTCATTCAACAAACTTCTGGAAAACCTGAATTTAATCAGAAATCACAATTATACCAATCTTGGACACCATGGACTGCCAATCAACAATCAGAAGATATTACTCAGCAAACAACAGAATATGATGATCTTACTCAACAAACTTCTGGAAAACTTGAATTTGGTCAGCAATCACAACAATTCTATCAGTCTTCAAAACCACATAATACCAATCAACAAACTTCTGGAAACCTTGAACTTGAACTTGAACAAGAATCACAGTCGAATCAGTCTTCAACAACACATACTGCTAATCAATTAACAGATTTTATTCAGCAAACAGATGAATTTGATGATCTTACTCAACAAACATCTAGAAAACTCAAACTTGGAGAGGAATCACAACAATTCTCTCAGCCTTGGAGATTAAATATTGCCAATCAAGAATTAGATGGTCGTACCCAAAAAACAAAAGAATATGATGGTCTTACTGAACAAACTTCTGGAAAAATTGAATTTGGTGAGCAATCACAAGACTGGATACCACATAGTACCAATCAACAATTAGATCTTACTCAACAAACTGGAAAATTTGATGATCTTACTCAACAAACAGGAGAATTTGATGATCTTACTCAACAGACATCTAGAAACCATGAACTCGAACAGGAATCACAACAATTCTATCAACCTCAAAAACCACATACCAGCAATCAAGAATTGGATGATGTTACTGAAAAAACAAGAGAATATGATAGCCTTACTGAACAAACTTCTGGAAAACTTGAATTTGATCAGCAATCATATCAGGGTTGGATACCACATACTGCCAATCAACAATTTGGTCTTACTCAAGAAACAGGAAAATTCGATGATCTTACTCAACAAACAGGAGAATTTGATGATCTTACTCAACAGACATCCAGAAACCATGAACTCATACAGGAATCACAATTCTATCAACCTCAAAAACCACATACCAGCAATCAAGAATTAGATAATCTTACTGAGAAAATAAAGAAATATGATGATCTCACTCAACAAACATCTGGAAAAGTTGAATTCGGTCAACAATCACAACAATCCTATGAAGCTTGGGATTTACAGAGTACTATTCAACAATTGGAAGATCTTATTCAAAAAACTAAAAAATCTGATGACCTTGCGCAACAAAGTTTTAGTCAAGAAACACAACATTCTCATCAACCTTGGAATTTACATAATACTATTCAACAATTAGAAGATCTTATTCAAAAAACTAAGAAGTTTGATGATTTTACTCAACAAACTTCTAAAAAACTTGAATTTGATCAGCAATCACAACAATTCTATCAGTCTTCAAAACCACATAATACCAATCAACAATTAGATCTTACTCAACAAACAGGAGAATTTAATGATTTTAATCAACAAACTTTCGGAAAACTTGAATTTGGACAAGAATCACAACAGTCGAATCAGTCTTGGATATCACATACTGCCAATCAAGAAATAGAAGATTTTACTCAAAAAACGGGAGAATTAAATGATTTTACTCAACAAACTTCTGGAAACATTGAACTTGGAGAGGATTCACAACAATTCCATCAGTCTCAAAAGCTACATACTCTCAATCAACAATTAGATCTTACACAAAAAACACAGACAAATGGTGATCTAACTCATCAAACTTCTGAAAAAGTTGAATTTGGCCAACAATCACAACAACCCTATCAAGCTTGGTACTTACAGAATACCATTCAACAATTGGAAGATCTTATTAAAAAAACTGAAGAATCTGACAATCTTGCACAAAGTTTTAGTCAAGAAACACAGCAATCTCATCAATCTTGGAATCTACATAATACTATTCAACAATTAGAAGATCTTATTCAAAAAACTAGAAAGTTTGATGATTTTACTCAACAAACTTCGAAAAATCTTGAATTTGGTCAAGAATCGCAACATTTCTATCAATCTGAGAAACCATATAATGTCAATCAACAATTAGGAAGTTTTACACAAAAAGAATCTGATAATATTAATCAACAATCATCTGGAAAACTTATGTTTGGTCAAGAATCAGAGCAATCCTTTTCAACTTGGAGGCCAAGTTTGTCTCAACAAAGTGAAATATTTGTGCAACCAGAAGATAATTTGCCAAAACCTGCAGAAAAACCTAAACCAAGATCAAGATATTCAAGACTTGGATCAACAGTTAATTCGCAGCTATCAAATCAAAATCAGAAAAATATAAATCTTACTGCTGGAAATATAGATGTTTATGAATTACCACCAGAAGTGACTATAGAACATGATGTAGATAATGATAAGAATCAAAATATCAGAGGAGATCAGGGGCAAGGTAAAGATGTTTCTAACAATTTAAAACCACAAACTGGAAGTAGTATATATGATAATGTGGATCCAGTAAATTGGTTACACAAATCAAATGATGCAACTGTAGGCTTGCAATGGCATTATACATATCATCCAAGTGATCAAAGACAATTTGTACAACAGATAGATCAGAAGAATAAGGAAAGTCTGCACCAGCAATCAACTCAAGCACAATTTTCCAATTTACAACAGAATTTCAACCAAGAAACACAAAATAAATATATACTAGAGAATTCACAACAAGAATCTCAAAATTATGCATCAGAACAAGGAATTAAATCTATAAGAAAACCATTTCGCTATATTCAAAAAGAAAATAAATTAGTATCTGATCAGCAAATAACTGAAAATGGAAATTTGCAAAAGCATATAGAAACTGCTTCATCTGAATTTAAACCACAACCAAGAATTTTGGAAGTTTATGGAGGTGGACAATATGATCCTACACATAGCGAAGATATATACTCAGGAGTAACAGTAAACCCTAGTGCTACATTACCACCAGAAAGTAATACGGATCCATGGGATATTCGAGAAATACCAATAACTACAACAGAATCAACACTTCCAGCATTACCTGTAGAACCTTTAGATATAAATGATACTACTGAAAAACCACATCAATCATCTGTTTGGTCAAGAATTGGTCACAAAATAACAACTACTTTTGATAAAGCTAAAGAAAAGGCTAGAAGTATTTTTGGATAAATACAGCTTTTAACCATTTTAATTAACATCTATTTATAAGTAATTTTTAATAACATAAGTTCTTGATATAAACTTTGTTAAATAAAATTTATTTATCAGTTTTATAATATACTATTATTATTAGAATTGTTAATTTAATAATATATTATCATAGAAATTCATTATTATGAGATTATATATTATATTATATTATATTCCATGTTATTTAAATAAATGAATGTATTTTTAAATTGCTTTTACTAAATATCACAAAACCTTTATTGTATAACCTCAAATAAAGTGAAATATAATAAAGTACACAAAAATAATGAAGCAGATGTATGTTTACTTACTTCTGGTAGATTTTTAAAAAATCTAACAAAGCTCTGTTGACTTGCTGGATCTAGAATATATAATTATTTATGAAGTAATGAAAACCTTAATTTAAAAAATTATATTGTTATACTGACCCATACTAAATTGTTGATTTGGTTGAACAGCCATGATCTTATACGATGAAAGATATTAGTACTTACACTTTAAGAAACAAACAATTTAAAAATTAAAATAAACGCTATATGATTTCGTGAAAATATCTTTAAAAAATTTTTGTAAAATATACATTAAACACCTAATTCAACGTTTTCCCGCAAAAATGATTAATACCATAATATTAATAATATATAGATTGCGCACTATAAGTTATTCGGTAATAGTCGTTCTTTAATTTCATTGGTCAACTGAAATTATCGACGATTGTAGATTTCTATTCGTACACCCTTTTCAAAGTTATATAATTAATGCAATATACTTGAATAGACAAATCGTTTATTTTGTTTTAACTATCGCTAGTATA